AGTCGTAGCCACCGGCCTTCTCAATGTCATGCTTCTCGTTGACCGGGTGGCGCTGGTGGAGGTTGGTGCTGTCAACACCAATGGGCGTGAATTGGCTGGCGCTGTCAAGACCACTGGGCCGGAACAACTTGCTGGTCGGCTCGTCTGTGGTTCCGGTGGTGTAGACAACGTTGTCAGGGTGGGCCGCACGCGCGCTGTGGTGCACGTGTTCGTGGTGGTGCTCGCGCGCAATGTCTAGCGCCGGGTCGTCATTGCGGGCGACACCGGGCATTGGTGAGCCGTTGTGTTGGTCGCGGATATCAGCCATGGCGACGAATAGGCACAAGGGCAATTCCTGAACAGAGGTTGAACGACGAGGAACTGTTGGTTCTCATATCGAGGTCGGCCCTCGCGGAATTATATTTTCGCACCGTGGCACGCGCTACCACCAAAGTGGAGGGATCGCACCGTCGCTGGCCCAGACAAACAGTTGAACGGGCTCCAGACGGTCACTTGGCAACTTCCTCTTTTGCACTGGCTAGAGCACAGTAGCACAGGGTTCCATTGGCTCCCGGTCGTCTCCGCTTTCTGGAATATCTACCGTCTCATGTTGGTGCTCGCTTACTCGCTGTTCACACGCCTGTCTCTTGTGTCAACGCGACCCAGTACCGGCCGACCTACCGCGCTTCTGCAACCCGGACCAGGTTCTTATCTTTCCCCAGCCTTGATAGCCTGTCCAAGCGCCAATCACGGAGATGAACGTGCTGGAACGCCCGCCCAGTCCGTGATAAGCGGCGGCGAATATGCGCCCCTCCTCGGTTGAGGCTCTGTTTTGGGCTTCGCGTGGCGTTCTCGAAGCAACACCTCTGCCTTGACAACCCGACCTCCATCGTCTTCCCCGAGGTCGACGTTTCCGCTGCCCTGGGTCATGTGCAGAAGCAATTCCCAGGGTCTCGCAGCAATTACACAGGGGCGAAGACAGCATCTGCGAACCGTCGTGGTCGCTGAATTTCGCTTGTACTTTGTCTTTGTGGACCCTCCGGAATGCAGATCAGACCGGGTACTCCGTCTGACGCAAGGAGACCAACCCACTCCTATCAGTACGCTGCAGCGGGACACGCGCGAACGCCATGGTAGCACACGGCGTGCGCCTCCATCAGCGAGTGTTGGATTGGTGTCCCTCAATGCTATCTGACCAACGGGTCTCGACCAGCGCTATCACCATCATTCCGATAACCAGGTCTACGCTAGGGACGCTGGACCATCGAGCGCGCTTGTGGTGTCCTGCAGCTGAAGGAAGCTGGGGTTCTTATCACGAGGGCACGCATCGAGATATATGCGCCGAATCATGTCGCGGACTTCGCCTGTGTATACACTTTGGATAGCCGCTGTCTTGGCTGGCCGAGCGATCCTGACATGCTTTTGGACGCCAGACGCATTGTAATGAATGCCGTTCAAGATCCGCAGGTGGCCTTGGGACTAGCCTTGTCCCTTCCCCGCAGCGGGCCCAGCTCCATGCGGTAGCACATCGTGTGGGCTGGCATCATTTCGAGCTGGACTGCGAAGCCAGCCCTCCCGAATTCCTACATCACGGTGCTCATCACATAGGGAAATGTCTTCTTCGCGTTGCTCCAGCTTGACGTCCGACGCATAGCACTAGGCCAAGTTGTCGGCACTTCTCCCATGTCAGGCTTACCACCCCACCCGAGGCCAACCGAATGGTTACAATTTACTGTACCTAATCATACTTTGCGTGGCGTCTGCTAAGAGCAGAATCACGGAATACTAACAACTAAGAGGCACAGCCATCCGCGGAGCCTCTATTCACTGATTACATATATTCGATTCGAAGGATTATGGTCGATGCAGCGCCTTATTCGCAATTCGGAGCACCTTACTTTTTGCATCCGTGCTGTCCGTCATCTCGGTCAGTTCCTATCAGTGTCTGGGAGAGAGTCTCCACTTTCCGAGACGAAACACGGGTGAAATAGATGTGTGTGTACACCACGTCAAGCAAACACGAGCCTATACATCTGCGCTATTGCGTAAGGCCTCTCAACTAGTGTTGGGTGCAAATCACAGCGATATCACGATTATAATCGTATGTTTGCGAAGGACAAGCCGGGACTGCCGGAGCTGATCTAGGTACACCCATCAGCAACAGGAACCCCCAGATCCAGTGCACAGCTCCATGTCGGGGTTGTGAATTGAATCGCTTAATACACTTTCTTTTGGGCAAGTCGTCTTTCTTTTAAAGATGTTGTGCTTTCACTTGATCAAATCACAGTTCCCCCGAAACACGATCAGTACCGCCTCCGAACGACTCTAGGCTACTTCCGCGTTATTTATCCCAACGAGCTTAGCATCCTCGTCCTCTTCGTCCACCGCACTGCAGCTCATACTTCCTAGCGCGCACTGCACAAGCCTCCTTACCGTCCACAAAGCTTGTTCCCTCGCTTCTCTGTCGTGGCTGTCACGTAGACGAGCACCACACCCCGTCGCTAACCCGCGAAGCCTTATTCAAAAACCATCAACCGAGTACATCAAACGCTACGGACGCCACAATAAGGTTGCGGGACACGACATGTTAGCATTGTGCAATTGCACCAAACATGTTTGGCCCACGGCTACCTACTTTCGTTTAGGTTGATCACAGAATCTGGTCCCACGTACCTAGCCTTGCGAACGTGTGCTTGGTGCTACCGCGTGCTAACCCGTGATGTGAACCTCATGCGGAGAGCAAACACGAAATCACACATGTCGTGATTTGAAAGTATGCAATAATATTGACAGGTGTCAACAGTGCTCACGTAGAGTTGCGTGACGGTTCGTTATGAAGCGACTCAGTTCGATCTATCGGGGATGTGCTGGGCACAACAGGGAATATTTATTGACACAGCAAGTAGGCCACATAGATAAATCAATATTCCAATATCGGTATGTCACTTCATCACACTTTGCGCCCCATATGATTGCTCAGCCAATATGCACAGGTTCACTGCACACCCAACATCTCATTGCATGTTCTCATAAGATGAGTACGAACAAGTGATTCGAATACGTAACGACAAAGGGTATAATCAGCCCGACCGAACCCTCAACCAATACTACCATACCATACACCTTACACCTTACCCAATGCCGCTAAACAACAAGACTGTTGATGATGATAATACAAGTTGCCATAACCCATATAACAAACGCCCCCTATGCACGGCTTAATCAGAGTGATCGGACCCCAAACCTCTTACTTGCCTGTCAACTCGCCTTCCAGGTGCTGGTAGTTTGTTAGTTATGATGTTGCTGCGTTAGACACGAAAGTGTTGAATACTTACCGACCACTCTGGAATGTCACGTATCCGCTGCCACATATATCTTTCCAAACGATTCGCCGCCTTTGCGTACGGCGTGCTTTCATTGTTGTATTTGCGGCAATTGTCGAAGATGAGCTTGGCATCTCTGATAAAGTCCTCGGGAGTAGGATAAAGATCCTTTTCGTGTTTCTCTTCCATGGTCGCGAGATCCATGGGCTCCTTGATGACGTCGTAATAGTCAAGCACCTCATCCTTATTGACGGGCTGTTGGAACGGCCAGGCGTTGCTGTTGTTCTGCATGTCGTTGAGGAGATGGAGAAGGGCATTGTAGTTGGGCCCGTGGCGGGGCGCGCGAGCGAGTTCGTCCATGACAGGTGACCAGCCGGAGTTCTTGATGGCAGGAATGGTCAGGGGGTCGATGGCTTTCAGTTCGCCCTTTGCCCATTGCGCCGGCGGCGCGTGGACTTCGTAGCTCTTGCTCACAGCCCTTATCTTGGCGTTTGCGCATTCCTTCTGCTTCAAGAGCATTCTGCCGCTTTCCAAGTATCTTATCTTGGGCACCATGCTACACTGCATGATGGTGCCGCCTTCGTAGTCCTTGATGTAGCCCATCCATCTTGACTTTTCCAGGGTAATCTCTTTGGTGAAGCCTTGTTTTTTGAAGTATCCGATGGCGTAGTTGTCGGCGTAGGTCAAGAAGTGCATGACCTGCGAGGTGGCTTTAACGTAGTCTTTGAGATGTGACATGAGATGGGCACCGTAGCCCTTAACCTGCTGATCAGAGGAGATGGCGCAAAAGACGATTTCGGCGAACTGGCCTTTGTCGAAGGGACGGTATGTTATGCCACTGGAACGTTGTATTGTCAGCGTCTGACCAGACATGGGACGAGAGCCTTAACATACCCTACCACCTCGAGGGGATGTTTCACGATGGCTATGCTCAGATGGGTTCTGTCGTAGACGAGGCGCGCAATGTAGTCTTTTGGCATCTTGGGCAACTGTTTCTGGAAGATACACTTCAAGCCTGTCAAGATGATGGTGCTCTCCCTCTCCCCATCATTGTTGACTACTCTGAATTCAATCTCCCCATTGCGCTCTTCTATGACGGCGGGTTTCTCGGGGAATGGCACTATACGTTTCACGGGAGGCGCGGGGGCATCGTCGGCGGCAGAAGGTGTCGAGGGGTCCTGCTTTATGCGCTTGGGAGAGCCGTTGGGAGGGTCGGTGGTTGCCTTGCGCTTAGCTTCATCGCGAGCCAGGTTAGCTTGTAGTTCGCGAAGTCGTGTGTTGGAAGAAGACTGCCGGGTGTGTCGGCGAGGTATGGGGGGAGGAGCGAGCAGTGGTGAAGTTGGGGGAGAGGTGGGATAGCCCAACACGTCGCGCAACTGCGGGATGTCGTTGCGGGGAGACATGCCAGGCTTGTGGGTACGATGCACGTCTGTTGACGCGCATGAAGCTGGAGAGGGTATGCGCACTTACTGTCGTCGGTCGCGCCCGCCATGTTGCAGTGTAGGGCGCCTTCTGTGTGCCGTCGCGCCTTCTCTCAGCCCTGTGCGTGGTGTTGACTGAATGTCGGGGAAGTTGCGCCTCCCGCGCTAGTCGCCCCACACCAATCACGGCCGATCACCTGCGAGTGAACACGAAAGGCCACCAAAGCAGCTTCACGAGAGAGAGACACTTACATAATCCAATTGCACGCCTGCACACATGTCGAGCCCACTTGTAGACGTCTGGGAGGCTGCTGCGTCCTCGCCCTTCAGCCCTGCCGTCGGAAAGAACACGCAGTTCACAGTCGGCTTCGTGCTGCTGGCCATCTGTATGTTGGAAGCTCTGCTGCTTAGTGGAGCTCTGCTAACAACGCGCGCAGCTCTCATCTTGACTACCATCTTCGGCTTGAGTACGCGAAATAGCCACGCCCCTCTAGCGAACCTCTACTCATGCGCACACAGACCGCTCCTTCATCAACCTCCCCGTTCTCGGTGTTCCCGCGTCATTAGCATTCGGGTACGTGGCCTCGGAAGCCCAGCTACAACATGCGCCCACTGACTGCAAACAGCTTCGGCGCCGTCTACATGATCTGCGCAGTCGGCGTATACGTCTAGTTTCCTACTTCTCCATCCGGCGTTAGGGGCATACTGTGTACAATCTATGGAATACCAATAAAAAGTTCAAGACTCTCGAATCTACCTGCACGATAGCCCGTACCCTCACACTCACAACACAGCACCATGGACGAAGAGGAGCCCCCAATACTCACGGCAGTGTCAAGCTCCGCGCGACAATTGTACCTGCTCCTCCGCTGCATTGCCTTCTCCAACAAGGCTCATGTCCAGATCAGCGACATTGGCATGAAGCTCGCTGTGGATGAGGCGAGCGTCATGGAAGGTACGTACAGCCATATGCGATGTATTTTTGGCACATTCCAAATCTGACACGACTACAGCATCCGCCTTCCTCGACAAGTCTCTCTTCACAACCTACACCTTCAATGCGCGCGCCGCACCGCCGAACTCACAACACTCCGACAGCGACGATGAACTCGACCCAACATCTACTACCACTCCCGCGTTTCAAATATCTCTTCCCGCTCTCCTTGAGACCCTCCAGATCTTCGGCCTCACCGACCCCTCCACTTCCAAACCACCATGGGCGCGCGATGGTGCATATCCCACCAGCACAGCCTTCACTGGAAACAACATACTAGGCGGCATGAACAACCTCTGTCGAATAAGCTACGATGGCCCCGGTGCTCCACTGGCCGTCACTTTGACAGAGGCAAGCATACGCACGCAATGCGATCTCACGACGTACGAGCCAGAGTACACAGACGAAATACCTTTTGATCGACAAGCCCTCGCTCTGAAAATCATCATGCGAGGCAGCTGGTTGTATGACGCAGTACAAGAGCTATCATCTACAAGCCCAGAGAAGCTGACCATGTACGCCAAAACCGTGCGCGGCAAACCCTTCTTCGCTCTGTCGTCATCAGGCACTCTAGGCTCAGCGCGCGTCGAGTTCAACAATCAGCCCCAGCCCTCAGCCTACCGCACTCCTGCATCCACGAACCTCAACACGAACAATGAGGCAGCAGATCAGAAACCTACCAACCTGCTCGAGACCTTTCAGCTCAGCGATCCACAAGCCGTACTCCGCTCATCCTACAAGTTTAGCTTGATACAAAAGGCTGCGCGTGCGATGAACGTTGCGACCAAAGTCAGTATACGAGCAGATACCCAAGGCGTGTTGAGTCTACAGTTTATGATTGAGGTCGAGGGTAGTGGGTCGGCTTCTCAGACTGGGCCTGGAGGGGCCACGGGCGGACAAGTGAGTTTCGTCGACTTTCGCTTTGTCCCGCTTGTGGAAGAGGATGACGAGGAGGCTGAGGGCGGAGACGTTGACGAGACCCTGATGCACAATGGCCCAGGAAGCGATGGCGAGAGTGGCGCTTACGATATGCTATGAGAGTACAATAGACATCACTACAGACAGAAAACAGGGAGCTTGAGCTCAGCATATGCCGATTTTGCCAATTCTTATATTTGCTAGTCTGTCCAGACCCGAACAGAGTAGGAAATGAAATGCACAATCGTACAATGTCTTCTGTGATGAAGCAACCATGAGCCTTTGTTTGGCAGCCTCTTACTTAGAAGTCCTGACGTTTGCTGTGCACATGGCCTCGACCTCGACAATTCCTTCTTTTACTCAAGCTGAAAAACTCCACCTGATGAAATGTAAACCTGCCATGGGGCCCATACGCCAATGCTTGGACATGTGAGGCCAGCCAAAGTTCTAGTCCTGACCTGAGTGCGAAATCAATCTGAATAGCGTAGACTAGGGATACTCAGGACGCCCAGTCGTCCTATCCATAGTTTTATGTAATGCGTCATGGGAATCAGCTTCTTTCTTGTTTTCTTCTTTCTCGAGTCTCGCGCCAGGCCATAGTATCCAATCTGATGCCCGTTATCGATGTTCGTACCGAGCCGCTTTGTCGTCGCGAAAAGGGGATCGAGCTTGGTGAGTCGTGTATCAGGCGTGCTAGACTCGCGTCTCGATCGAATGGGGTTCGTGCGCTGCACGGAGCGACTTAGAACTCGAGTTCAGCTACCACGGGCATTAGCAATGGGTGGCGAATGTTCACCATTCGAATTCACCATTTGCTTTGTGGAACAGGTATCTTCCATACTGTCAGTGAAATCTCTTCAAAGTCTCAACACCCAACTTACTCCTTCTTGTTCGTGGTCAAGATGCCGTCCTTAAGCGTGCACTTCCACTTGTTCTTCACGCGCTGGACTTTGTCGTAGGTGCACAACATATAGTCGACCATTTCATCGTCGCTGTTATCGCCATCCCCGAGTTCGTCCTCCGAGTCATCTAGGTCAGAGTTAATGGCGTCATCCGGATCTTCTTCTGGCTTCACATCGTCGTCACCGTCGAAGCGCGCGGGAACCGGTGCGCTTGACGAGGCCTCTGCGTCTTCGGCCTGCAGGACACGCATAGCTGCCTTGCGCTTTTTGCCCTTTGGCATCGAATCGAGCGGTACCATGAGACCACTGTCCTGACGCATAGCCATGGCATCAACGCGAGAACGCATGAAGTCGTCCGCTGCCATGCGCTCTACTGCATCAGCAGCGCGTGCGGCCTTCAAGGCCTCCCAGTCAGCCATGGCGTCACCCGAACCATCAGTCTGTGAGGTGTACATGTGATTTTGCGGTGGGGGACGCTGCTGTGGCATTCCCTGTTGTTGCTGTTGCGGAGGTCGTTGATGCTGCTGCTGCTGTTGTTGTTGCTGTTGCGCCATCATGCGCTGCTGTTGCTGCTGCTGCTGGTTCTGCATAGGCATTTGAGGCAGATGGCCCTGTTGCGCCAGATTGGGAAAGTTCTGCTGCACATGTCCTTGCTGTTGCACTCGCTGCTGTACCAGAGCGGCTGCACGCTGGTGCGCGAGCTGCTGGTTTTGATCATAAGTACCGCCGTAGCCGTTGTTCGCAGTCTGAGCAGGAGGGTAGTTAGCAACTGGTGGCTGGTATCCTCCTTCTTGCTTCACGGGCACGTTGGGGAAGTTGAGAGCCTCCTGAGGTCCGGACACGGAAGGCATATCATTGTCAACCTTTACGTTGGACGGTACCGTAGGCGGCTGACGAACAGGCTCAGGAGCAGGGTCCCATGGAAAGTGAGCAATCTTGAGAGCGGATAGCCTCTCTTGCCAGCCCTGGCGATAGTCAGTATATGCTCAGCACAACTGCAACAAAACATGATGTGAGAACAGCCGTCACATGACAGACTATGCCTTGTTGGGAAATGATGCGTTGGTCTTGGCGGGTGGGGGAGCTGTGCAGGGGCTATAAGAAGGCATCTCAAATACTGAGGCGCCCCCGGAGCTGCCAGACCGACCGGCAACTCCGCCCCGCTTCCAGCCGCCCATCACCCAAGCCAGGCGGTCACCGCGCGATCGCCGCAGCCAGCGAAACCGATGCGAGGAATGAATTGACAAGAAAAGTGAGAGATATAAAAAGCGGTGTGACGGCAGTCGCAGATGTGCTGCGACAAAGAAAAGGAAGGCGCGCTGGCCGAGATGGAGGCCAGGTTGCAACATACCTGCTTCATCTCGTCGAGCGTGCTATGATCGACGCCCGACTCCTCGAAGTCATTCTGCGAGGTCTGGATCACCTTCTCGATGATCTGCTGGTACACGCCGCCCTGGTGGTTGCTGTTAGCAAGCCTGCCTTTACCCTTCCACCGCTCGCATGCGCGCCTTGGGGATACTAACCACGACCGAGTTCGACATGATCGCGACTGTTTGATATGGTCTGAGCTATCTAGTATACGATGCGAGCTCTGTGATAGCTGCGCGACGGCTTGTGATGGTTGCTCGCGTGCAGATGATTGAGGAATAGGCAGGCAAGCCAGGCAGGCGACGTCAGCGCTTGAGGCTGCAGAGAGGTGCGCGCGCTTGAGGAAGCTTCTGCGCGGTCAAGGAAGTTCTACGGATATCGCTAGCCCAGACGGAAGGCCTTGTACGACGTGTTCGGGTGCCCTCAGCTTTCGGGGTCGTGGGTGTATGAGTGATAGTGAGCGGCGTTCCGGCAATCATTGAGGGCGCCGGTTCGTTAGCGCCTAACGCTACTCTAGCGCCACACGTGACCATGCTCACAGCTCAACATCTGATCCAAAGTACGCGATGCAACGTTCTGGCAGATTCGAAATATAGTAGTGCTCATGATCAATATACATACGAACCGATCCAAATGTTGGTACAAACGTCGTCAGTTCATCAATTGCACCTCAAACAGCCAACTGCATCCCATAAGAAGCAAAACTCCCGCCACTGCACTCGAATCGCACCTGGGTATCTTGGCATGCTCCTCGCAATCGCTACCGGCTAATGGTCATGCACCAAAGCCTTTTGTACCGCTGCATCAACGTCCTTGCGCCTATACCCCGGTGATCGCCCGAGACACACGCCGTGTATAATGATCTCTGTCGTAATTGTCAGCCAACTGTTGACCTCTCGTGAATGTGCACACTCACCATCAATCAGCTTCGAAACGTCGAGCCAGGCAGTCTTCTTCCGTTTCTGCCTCACGACTGGTAGAGCTGCCGCTACATCGCTCATCATGTTCATGCCTAGATCTATGTTGTCCATGTGAAAGGCGGGTGTATGCGAAAACCCATAATCATACCCAGGTGCGAGATCCAAACCCAGGGTCTGATCATATGAGATTTCGTAGTTGACAAGCCTAGGGTATTCACCGGTGTTCCCAAAAGACAGGTCTAGCCCATAAGATCCACTATCCGCGATGTTGTAAGAGTTGTTTGGCGGATTTGTCGAGGTGGTTGACGGAGCTGCCGATCCGTTTGCGGAGTTCTGGTGAAGAGGAGGCAGACTCGTCGCGTTGTGTGGTCGTTGCCGTAGTGCGCTGTTGGGGGCTCTAGACAGTTCTTCGTCGTCAACCTCGATGACACATTCGGCGAACGAGCTCTTCGGGTCGAGCTTGCACGAGTATTTTTCTTCCAAGTAGCCCTGTACGTCGTAACAATCGAACCATTCCCCCTCGTATCCACGGAGGTCCACGCCGCGTAGCTCTTCACTCCTACCGTCTTCTGTATTCTCTATTATGAGCACCTTGTTCTCTGTTGGCCCAATTTGCCGTACGTTCCATCCGTTTCTGACAGACTTTACGTTGCCGGCAGCGTCCCGTCGCGGATAATGAGTTCCTGCACCACCGAGATGGAGAAATGGCGACTCCCACCAATCCAGGTCTTCGTCAATGCCACGGGCCATGATAGTTCGGAAGCGGCTTCGTATTTGATCGAGGGTCTCATGAGGTAGAGAAAGCTTGAAGACACGGTTGATTGCCTAGCTGTCATGATTAGCCTTGTATCACTACTCAGGAGAAAAGGCAGTGAAGCCACAGAAACAATTCCTACATCGACTAGCTGAAAACGTACCGTAGGGCGAGCTTGGGCGTTGCTAAGCAAATGAAACCCCGCCTCAAGCGCCGCCCTCGACAATCGTCTCGCAAATGTTGTTTCTTGGAAACTGTACGTTGTGACCGGAGGGAGCGTCTTCGACGATATTTTCGATAGAGGCGGCGTGGGCAGTCTGTTCGATGGCGGTGTCGCTTCAGGCGTCGGTACACGGACGGAGTACGTGTGTAGGTTTGTTGTTCCATACGGTGCTTGGTGCTGACTCAGAAGGTCTACAAGGCCGAAAGGCAGCTGCGTCGGTTGGGATGAAGTATGCGATGGTGATGGGTCTGCTGGAGGCTGCGAAGATCGGTGCGACTGGTCGAAGACCGAACCAGCTCCAAACTGACGGCAACCCACCAGATCGCTCCTGCGGGAGTCTACATTGCCATATGCAGCACTGATGTGGGCGAGGTAGCTATCCGGTGTTGACAACTGTGGCTGCGGACGCTTCTCAGCGGCTGGTTTCGGAACTGCGGAATATCCCCATCCAATGTGCTGCACTTCAGGCTCCGGTTCGGCTAGCTTTGGTGCACCATTCCCTTCAATCCCGTGTTCGCCGTGTTCACCATCTTCGTCTCCCTCGTACTGGCCCTCGTTGGCTGTCTTTGTCAAGCTCGCGAACGTCTCCGTTACCAGCTTGAACTCTTGGGCCAAACTCGGATTCAGCTGTAACAGACCTGACTTGACGGTGGACTCGTTTAGCTTTAGGAAGGCCTTGTTCATCTGCTCGATAATCGAGTGGAGCTGTGTGCTTTGACTCTTCAACGACGCGATGGTGGTTTCCTTCCGCTGCCGATATGCACGCTGCGCAAGCCGGATTTGAGTTCTTCGTCTCTGGTACACCTGTCAGTACATTCGACATGAATGCTGAGATCGGATCGCGAGGAGCTCCATGCTGGGTAGTGTCATCTGGAGCACGGTAGGCTCATCAGCGTCGTTCACAGGAGGTGGGGATGACGATGAGGAGCTCACAGTGGGTCGAGCTGGAGAACACATCAACAACTTGACAGCTTCTTCGATCAGGACAGGTGCGCATGTCCCGTTTACCCTCCCGCTCCAAGAGTTGACAACGACGAATCGGGTAGATAGAACAAAAAGGACGTTGCGTCTCCACTCACATCTGCAGCCGTGGCGTCCTGTGTGTCTACCCGTGGACGGCCCCTAGCCTTCTTTCCTCCAGCACCACCGTCATCGACGCTGTCCCTCCTGCGTGAGCGCTTCCGTGATGTCTGCGCCTGTTCTGATTCTGAGCTCGTCATGATTCTGGTTTTCGCTTCTGATACCGCTGATCGAACAGAGTAAGGTCCGGAGGTATGTCACCGAAGGAGTTCGGTGGAACCAATAGCGAGACTGACTACGAAAGGCGAAAGGATGCTGAACCGAAGTCGGTCTCCACGGACTACTAATCACTCCGTTCCGACTCTTGAAACACCGCTATCGTTCACTTGTGAGGAAAATCGTAAACGCTTCGTACAGATTCTTAATGGAGTAATTTGGTTCGCGTAAAAATAGCGGGAAGACGTTGTGTACATGTAGATTGCATCCAGAACTAGTTCAACCTGACGCAAGCCAGACGGTAGGTATGGAAAAGCAAAAGATGCTCCGGCGCCGATTCAGTGAACGGCCGCTACAGCTCACAAGGTTCGAGATCGATCAAGGGTCCGCTGTTACACGGGGCTAATGCGCGTCTCCGCACAGGATGCGGCTAGGTCCTGCTGTCTGTAGGGCGAAGAGGCGGACGAGTGCATGGGCGGGTGGGTTCATGACCATAGGTTTGCAGGCGTTGTGGTCCCATCTACGTGGGTTTATTTGCGTGCAAATTTATAACTCGCAAGCCTACCCTAGACATTCTTGATGGTGAGATGTTTGAGACCGAGGTCGTCGGACCTTAGTAGATGGGTGTGACCAATTGTTTCGTTGTGCGTCTTGTAGCTCTGGTGCAGTTCGGGAGGCTTTGGCAGCATGATTACTGAACAACAAATTTCCCGGAACGGCAAGTGCCGCATGCCAAGCGCTGCACGTGACAACCAAGGTGACTCCTGTCAGCAGTCTGCAGGGCTGGCGGTTATAAATTTTTCCCTCGCTTCATTGTCAGCTGGTTTCTTGTCAGCGCTTGATTATATAAGCTGTTTAAACCTCTCTAGCTTGGTAAATCAAACGGCCCCCTTTACGCTTCAGGGCGCGATACCTGGGCAGGCGCTTCCTTGGGTAGCTTCAGCCAAGTCAATACGGCATACGGGCGACGCGGCACCGGGAACAACGTAGATCCTAGAATACACAGATCATGACGTCAATGTTTTAATGAACGAGTGAACGAGACTGTCCAACTTACAAGTTGACGATGTCACAATCACGACTTCCATGCGTCTCAGGTACCAATGCACTAGCCCGGTCAAGGATATTTAGAGCTTGTGTATGATCACATAATCTAACGTTGTATATCTATGCTGATGCTTGCCCTGGACCGTGTCTAAGCTTCGGCACGACGCCCAACCAGTTGTTCGATTGTTCATCTTCGCCCTGCTCTGCAGCGGCCGCTGCGTGCCCACCCCCAGACTCCCCACTAGTGTTCTTCTCCGCATCATCATATCTATCTCGAACCCCATGCCCTGTTTGCTGACTGTTTGCATCCTTTACCTCCGCCTCATGTTCCCGTACCGGTATTTCGCTTCTCTCTGCCTCTCTCCGGGAGGGGCTTGCAGATCTAGGCGCATCGGCAGCCGCATGATGACTAGTCCGAGATTCCTCCGCCGATAAAATAGCACGATCCTCATCTATGCGCTTTTCTCCTCTGTCTTCTGCCTTGATCCATGTTTGCAGATCCTCCTCTGAAGGTTTATGGAAACACCACATCTCATCAGAAGTCGTGTATCCAGTGCCCATACCGCCTTGAAAGTTGCGCTTAAACTTTCTTTGCAGACCAGCAGCTAACCGTTTCCTGAACTCATTGTCAACTCGTAGTCGGGCAGCTATCCACTGGTCGTTCGGTCGGTGGTCGTTGGGCATGTCTTCCATAAGAGGCGTGTCCAGAATCTTCTCATCTGTCATACATCGATTAATGATGGACTTTCCGCCTCCCGAGTCGGGCGTAACCAAGCGGAGGAATTCGAGGCTAGTGCTGACGTTGAGATCAATAGCTCTTTGCGGATGGACGGTGGCCTTCATGAACAACGATGAGACATGCTTATATAAAATCGAGAAGTCGCTTTGGTTGATGTGAACGGAGCCTCGGACCGTAAGAAGATATGCAGGGGCGCCATGCTCGCTGGCCTCCTTCATCAGAGACATGGACGCATCCCAGTTTTTCTGCCAATACATGAACGCTTCACTGGCGATTCCCAGCAGGGGGAGGTGTATTCGGTGCTTCGGGTCTTCCACAGGTGGCTTTACAGGTGCGCTACAAATGTGTTAGTTCCAATGTAACGATGGGGAGAAAGATATAGTCACCCCCAGATGTCGTAGATTATCCCCGCTTGCACATTAGTAAATCTTTCGGTGTGCCTGAGCACTTCTACCACTGTTGCTGCTCCGAAACTATGACCAGCCACTGTCATTTTATCTACGTGAAAACGATTTTTCCATTGTGCCCAATCGATTCCGCCTAGACCTCTGGAAGAGCCTCCGACGTAGCCTTCGCCTCGGAGATTCTGTCGTGCGATTTCCTCTCCATCGCCGTCAGATATCATCTTGAGTACACGGTATGCTTCCTCGAGCTCGCAAAGACGCAGCTCTATCTGTGCGCTGCGCAGTTCGCCGTCGACGCCGTGCTCATTGTTCGGTGCGGTGTCCATCGGGTTATCTTTGGGGAAGATGTAGTCCTGCTATAGTCAGCCTAATAGTTCCTGTATTACAGAACCTCACACTACGCACGACATAGTGATAACCTTGCGCAATTTCTTCGTCAGTGTGATCCAGATGCTGGAACTTGGAAAAGTCTTTGTCGTCTTCTGCGTCTCCGTCGCAATTCGTATGGTTCGCTTTCCCTCCTCCTTGGGCATCCTTTCTCCGCTTCCCTCGCTTCTTGTGATTAATGAAAGTCCGCGGTCCACTCCCGTCCCTATGCTCCACCGCGCACACGACGAAGCCGTAGCTCGCGAATTCAGAGCATAGGCTGCTGTATGCGGTTCTAGAGCCACCAAGACCATGACTAAACATCAACAGTGGGAACATGGGCTCATCGTTCATGCCCTCGGGCGGACTACCCTGCTGGTTCTTGATCTCATACCCGTCTTTCTTCATGTTGCCTTCCGGAGGCCAATGAGTCGCAGGAGGGGCGTTCCTAAAACCGCGCAATTTGGTGAGCATGGTGGTCGCGCCAAAGACGCCGATGCTTATAGGGCTCGGTATGCCAGCAAACCGCGCATAACCCTTCGCCGTCTCCATGCGCGGCCTTGGAAGCCATGTCTCGCGACTCCATTTCTTCTCTCCTCCTGGGGCGTTCCCGTTACCACTCCCGAACGAGGCTGGATAATATAGTGTAAACAAAACAGTCTCCAACTGCAGAAGGTGCCGGCCCTTGCGCTTGATGTTCGAGATCGGACGAGGGTGTTCGACAGGGACTTCTATCTCCATGCTGCCTATGGAGTATGGCCCTGAAGTGGGAGAGAGGGTCGAGTTCGGGTAAGGGAGATGATCGCGTATCGATGCGGGCGGTCTCGTGCGTGGTTTCTTCGCGTTGGGTATCTTGCCCGAGGACGAGGGATTGAGGATGCTGTGTCGACGGGCGCCATCTTCGTCACCCGTGATGCGCGTCTTTTGACGCTCAAGGAAGGACATGGTCGATGGCGAGCGGTGGTGTGAAGGGTGATCGAGGGTATCTTAGAAGAAAAAGCGCGTAACAAAACGGACGCGGTAGGACCACGCCTCTGGGTGATGAAAGCGATACAGCGATCGTGAAGAACAACGGCCGAGAATGCTTCGCCATGCTTAGTAGGCGCTAGGAGGCCCCGCCTGAAACGCTTGCTCCGCTGGCGAGACTGTGCGGATGCGCCCGGGAGACCTAACTGTAGTGTTTGGTGTTTTGTGAGAATGCCGATGATGTCATGGGCCGGTTCCCGTGGAGCGCGTAAGTGGGGCCGATACCCCTTCGCCGTCCCTGACGAGCGCAGACACTCGGCCTACATCAAGCATGACGTGAATTTGCTGGCGTTCAACTTAAGTCATGTTGAATTGAGCTATCAACTAAGATGGTGAATAACATACTTTTCCAAAAGTTGTACAGTGTGCAATACAGCACATAACGCGAGATAGAAGACATGTGCACCCAACATGTTATGGGTGCAGACTCGGTCGCTTTGGCTCAGGCTATGAGGTCTTCGACCTGTCCACCACCGGATATTGATCGGTACCGAATGTAGAGTTCAGCGACACCTGTCCCGAGATTTTACCGTTCTCCAGACGGATCCACGTGTCGACCACCTTCGCATCCAGCATATCCTCCTTGACGACGATCTGACGCGCGCCCCGTGTCCAATCAGTGTAGCCACCATAGCCTGAGTGACGATTGAAGCAGATGTTCAGCCCGTTGCCGTTGCTAGGAGAGTTGCCAGGGAGGTCTCTGGCCCATTTCATGCACCAGTCTACGCCATGGTCGTGACCCGAGAAAACGGCCATGAGGTTTTCCGTCTCTACGAGCGCCTTCATGAAGGGAATATCGGCTCCACTGTACTTGCAGTTGTTCCCAGTATGATCGCAAATGTCGCCCTGGTTCCCTACACTCTCTTCGTTGATGCCTGGGTTGGCTGTTTTGGAACGCCCGTTATGTTGAAAAGAATCTGCGGCGTGTATCGGAATGTGCACGAAAGCCATGCTAGGAACCGCGCGGCCATATTGCTGGCGAAGGGCGTTATTGGTATTGCGGAACCATTCAACAACCTGCAAGAATCAGTACATTATGAAAACAGTAACAAGGGTCTCATACCTTCTCGTCGACCCAGTTCGGAACACCGACATCATCACCAGTGGGTTGATACTTCATGCCTCCTTTGCTGTCAAAGAACCACAACAGCATCTTCAGATCAGAAGCATCCGTAGAGCTGTACACCGGGACGAAATAGTTGCTCCAGCCAACTTGATTGATATCGCCAGACACGGACTGCGTCGTGAAAGAGAGTTTCTTGCCATTGTTGCCCTTGACATCCGACCACATGTGTTCGGACATGGCACTAGTGCTGCAAGTCTTGGAAGCATCGTGATTGCCAAATGTTGCGCCGAAAGGCAGGTTGCGGGCGACGAGTGGAGCCACGATCTGATCGATCAACGGATTTGCGTCTTGAGGGGCCACCCACTCACAGGAGAGGAGATCGCCGTTGAGGACGACGAAGTCGGGCTGCTCGTTGTCGAGGACTGAATTCATGACACCGATTGTTTTGAAGTCTGCGAATGAACGGCCGCGCTGAGACTCAGCTACAAGTCGTTAGTATACACTCGTTTCAGGTTCATACGACGTAGAGATGTGATTACTTACGCTCGCCGAAGTGGAGATCACTGAAGACGGAAATCGACAACTGTCTATCCGCAGCGAATTGGATGCCTGCATAGTAGGGCGCGGATCTGCTGTGAAGCACAGCGGCACTAACTGTTGAAGCCAGCAGCCAGATGAACTGGGTAGACTTCCAAGTAGCCATAACGGTCAAGCAGGATTTTGTAAGTTGATGCACTTAGAGGTAGCGGGTAGTCGAGCCGAAGGTGAAGCAAGATCAGTCGAAGTGAGGGTGTATTGCAGGCAAAGGAAGAGAGCGAGAGTGAAAGAACTGCTCACGCAGATAGCGAGGGTGAAAGTCAGGAAGGGGCGTGGGGGCCTACAACCCAATGGGGTCGAAAGTAAAGAGCGAGCGGCATCATGGGAAAGAGCTGATTGAACTCAACTCAGGTCTCGTTGATACTTTACATTGTAACGTCGATGCCGCCTATCTCAGATGCAGCAGTCGTGTGTGTTGTCTCAATTCCTCTACAATCTCCTCATCACGCAGAATCTAATGCTATTCCGACAGAAACACAAGGACGAACGGCCCCAATACCAGCCCACTCAAGATTGGGGCTATTTGAAGTGTGGAGGAAGGTAGGCAGGGAATGAATGGCCGGGGGTCCGCTCTGGACAGTCGCGCTAGCCAAGACTTCCCCACCAAAATTTCCAGACGCGAAGTTGGGGATCAGTCCTTCACCTCCGCCGCCATGAACGCCGAGGCTTATTTGCGCAAGCAAGGCTGGCAGGGCTCAGGTCACTCGCTCGACCAGACCGGCCGCGGCATCAAGAAGCCGCTTCTCATCGCGCACAAGAACGACCAGCTAGGACTCGGCAAGAAGAAGGCGGCGCATACGACAGACGACCAGTGGTGGTTGCGCGCATTTGACCAGAGTCTGCAGAGCATTGGTACAGGCAAGGATGTATGCAGTCATGCACCACTGCGCGCGATCAAACAGCTAATTCCCCGCTCAGAGCACGCTCGACCAGATCCGCACCCAAGGCATCTATCGCGGAGGTCTCTATGGCTTCTTCGTTAAGGGCGAGATGATTGGAGGTACGATTGGAGAATCCTCAGCGACCACCACAGACGCATCGAATCCCGCTTCCGGCGCAAGCACGCCTCCCACATCCGCGTCCGACACCGAAACGCCCGCGCCTACCAAAGGGAAATCCGACAAGAAGAAGAAGCGCAAGCGAGACGAGGGAGATGATTCGGTTAGCAAAAAGGCGAAGAGCGACGCGGTCGAATCGAAGAATGAACAAAGTTCGGCGGCAGTCACGGGCAAAGACCTGAAGGCCGTAACGAAGAAGCTTGCGAAGCTGAAAACCGAAGAAAAAGCCGAGTACGAGACGCGCGCGAAAGCAAAGGGCCAGACACTCGAGCAATACGTCCTCCGTCGCATCCAGAAGAAGTCAGAAACGCGCGCTCCTAAGCCAGTAGAAAAAATCAAGGAGAAGAAATCGAACTCGGATAAAAAGGAGAAGAAGAGCAAGAAGGCGCAATAACCACGAAGATACAATGGTGTAGATGGAGAGAACAGTAGACGATCACATCACTCTCAGGATCGGCGTGGGATGCCCGCAGCCTTTTCAGGGTGGACAAGCCCTCGAAGCGCATGCGGGAGCTGTGCAAAGAGCAGAAGTAAAAGGATCCTGGCTCGAGGGGCTATATGTCGCCGATCCATCTTCAATGAGCCGGGCGTGATCGTCAGGATAGATACCCAAGTCTGTAGGGGCCGCTGACGACTACCCCAGGGAACGTGGTCTGAATGCAAAATAAGGGCCACAACGAGAGCACCGGATCAGAGAATTGACCGGGAAGCGCAACGTTGTAGAGTCGGGATTTCTAGGCACATGCCATACGTGCGGAATACTGTATTATACCAATATCGCGATGTTGTTACAGACGAATATTATTCGATCACTCAAATAAACAACACCAACAGCATCCAGATCTTACATTTCACCATCATCTCATCCCCGCTATCATACACTGCTTCGTCCCACCAATACACACAAACAGCCCCATCGCAAAAATCGTCATCGTCAGTCGAGAAGGGAAAGAAAACCCACCAAACTCATCGACAAGACAAAAACCTACCAAAGACAGAAGTTTGTAAACAAATCACCTCACCCAGCTAACTCAACCCGTCTTCCCACTCAGAATCCAGGGCCTCTTCTCCCAAAAATCGTCCTTGATGATATCCACGTGCTCCATCAGCACCATCGCCTTACTCCGCTTCTTCTTGTCTTTATCCCTCTGCGTACGACTCATGGGTACGGGCCATCCTTCGTTCGCCTGTTGAGGCGCAGTAGCTGCAGCCTTACTATTCGTTTCCGACTGTGGTTGTTTGCCTTTATCCGGCCTGGCCTTTGAAGAGTTGGACTTGGAGGGTTTAGGTGCGCTGGCGTCTTTGTTGCGGCTGCTGGTGGACGGGCGGCTGGTGGGAAAGGCTTGGGAACTTGGCCCTGCAGCGGATGTTGAGGAGATTAGGGTGTGGAGATCGGGGCCTGAATGAGGGTATGGCAAGGTTGCTGATGTGGGCGCAGACTGTGTTGGTGTGGAAAAGGCGTGGAGTTCTGCAATACCTGGGTGAGAGATATGGTCTTGGGTGCCCCAGCCTTGACCCGCTCTGTTGTCTGAGTCGCTCGGCCTTCGCTGAGGCGACTCACTGCCGTTCATGGCGTACTTGCTCCAGTCTTGCCGTGGGCTGTTACCCTTGACCTTCTCTCGCGTGCGCATCTCCTCTTCTGCGCTCATAGGCGGACTGGGCAGAGCCTTGTTCTTTTGAATCGGCGGGCTGACTTTGCGGGGCGGCGTCGATGTCGCATCTCGGGGGCTAACGATGCTCTCCTTCTCATCCAAAGTATCTCTCGTGGCTTTGAGTGTTGACGTTGATCGATGGACCGGTAAAGACAGTTTCCGCGGCTTGCTATTGGCAGGAATGCTGGATATTCGCAGTGGTATAGACGGGGGCTTCACTGCAGGTGTGCTAGATGATGCAAAATATGAAGGCAGAGAAGGCTGGCTCGGCGATCGTTGTTTGACACGCGAAGGCTTTACTTGAGGTGGGTATGAATGTGTCAAAGAAGCAGAAGCGGAGTGGGAGAATCCATGGCTGGCTGCTGCAGTGGCATGGTGGCGGTAGCCTGCTATAGGAAAATCTGCGGGAAAGTCGCCCTGCGGTGTCACTGGGGAGAAGTTGGTACGTGTTGTTGGATTCGGTTGGCTCAATGACATCGGAGGCTTGCTGCTTGGCTTCAATATTGGTGGGGACAGCGGCAAAGGCGTCAACGATGGTAGATGTTGCTTGCCGTTCAAGGAGCCATTGTTGTTCCAGGTGGCAGTCGTTGGCGGGGAGAGCGGCATGGACGAACCTGGCATGTTACCCTCACCATCGGAGCCAATCGGATTGGACCTGAGTGGGTTGGGGAATGCTGATCTCGAAATCGTAGGTGGCGATGGCGGCGGTGATGGCGTCGATGTTGTGGAGAGAAAGGTTGGACGTCTGCATAGGCCTGGATTCTCCATCATCTCTTTTTTGTCCGGCAGATAGGGGATAGACCTCTCAATAGACTGTGATGCCCGGTGATTGGACGCTCGCTTTGGTGTTGGCTGAGCGATTGGTGGCGTTGGGAAGTCCGACAGCACGGGTGACGACAATGCCTCGGTCGGTGGTGTAGGGAAAAACTGCCACGGTTAGATACGTGGACGTGAATGCTGATGGTGCTGAAGCATCTCTTACATCTCTGTACAGCACCGTGCCTTTCTTGAAGCACTCTGGTTCGTTGTTGTAGTTGATTCCGAACTCCTTGAACAAGATCTCGTTCTTGTCGGATGACACTGTGCCTTTGAGTCTTTGCTCTGCTTCTCGCGCTCCCATGCCACCCTGCTGAACAAGGGTCCAGAAAGTGGTGTTGTACAGATTGTTGATATGACCTGCACGATGGTCAGATCCGCTCTACGACCGACACCGAGAGCAACCAAAAGATACAGTGTAACAAGAAAAGGCAGGATGAAGGCGATGCATCAAGATACTTACAATCGGCTTGCCGCCAGCTCATATAGTGTCGAAGGTTGATATCGCTTGGGTATAAAACCGCACGCCCATCGAATGTCGGTAGGGGTGCTGTGAGTGGCTTATCCGGAAAGTATGTTGACCAAGAATACACATAGTAAGCAGTGAAAGTCGAGACAATCGTCGTAGTCAGTTTGCTAAACGGGGATCAGTTCTGGACGAATGACCACCGGAGGTGATAAAGTTGCACCAATAGGAGGATTCCCGTACCTGGCTCGTCGTTCGAATAAGGCGCAGTCCTTGTGAAAGACGAAACTGCGACCCACGTCAGCTAAGCCGCCCCGAAACATGCTGCCCCACCCCTGTGTATACCGCGCTGGGAACATTGGGCAGCTCGATGGAGGCATAATCAATCTCAAACACAACGTGCTCGAATAAAAGAATGCAACATACCTGTATTCGTCGCTGTTGCCAAATGCAAGGACAAGGTCGGGCAGCTCCTTCATGACCGCCACGGCTGCAGCATTCATGACATCAAGGCCATTCTTGTCGTTTGGCTTGAGGAACTCATATTTGGACGTGAACCTGTTCGCGCGTTGTTAACAATGGCCCTTGTTGGTGTACAATAGCCGAGATGTTGGCCTGGGGCAGCAATTCCGTTCATGCAACATGGTGACGGGTACCTGCATATCCCGGACCAAGAAAGTTTGCCACGGCGCAAGTGAGGGAGAGAGAGAATTGGTGAGCGTACTTGGAAAAGCCACGTCCGTCTATCCGTACTACGATCCAGGTGTTGGGAATTAGATTGTCGGGCTGCTCGAACCCGCGCACGTATTCGAATCTGGAGTCCGTTAGTTGAGGTCCGGTGAGCTTGTGCAGGCGGCCAGCTCTGGACGTTGGCGGCAGCTTCCCCACCCGCTTCGAAAAGCTATTGATTACTCACTTGCTGTTCGCCATTTATGGCCTCTCTGCAGATAACAACCTTTCTGCCCCTGCACAGGCGCACGGCATAGTCTTTGAGCGATGAAAGACAAGAATTGACGGACGTCAGCGTGAGCTTGTTTGCTGCTCAGGAGTGCGTAAGTGTGGTTTTGAAGGCTGAGAGTCCGGGGCTTAGGCTAACCCGGTGTGCAGTACAGCAAAAGACGGTGTTTCAGGTTTGCAGATGTAATGCAGCTACCGCGACAAGCTTCTCGAGCCGACTGAAGCGCGGATAACGAGCGCGCAATTGGCACCCTCCGAACTGGCTATCATGCATTGCGTGGGTTACCCGCGGGTCGCAAAGTCTTTGAACATGGGATGAGTCCCCACACTCCGTTCCGGACGATCTCTGGCGCTCGGGCCAACGCCTTCCTCTCTAACAAAGCGACGCGCCCGCCGACACACGACCACCACCTTATCGCCTTCATGCACCAAGAGAAAGAGCTTCAGTGTACAAAGCAGCGTTGTACGCGTCCTTGCGCCAAGCCACTCTAGCATCTCCCCCTCATCGCACAGACAGACGCATGAAGCACTCGGACATGCGGCATCTCCCGACCCATACGTAGTTGCCGGAGCGGAGCGAGCGGTGAATGTGCTCAGACGCGTGCCTGTGCTTCTCGCAAATAACAGCCACGTGTGGCACCTGCTACGGGCTTCATGCTGGGAGGCATGGCGTAGCCTGACGCATACGGGACACCGGTTCTTTAGGAATCCAACTAAGGCCAGCCGCTACGCCATCCTCAAACAACAACACCATGCAATGTATACAAACACTACCGAAATCTTTCCGGATAGCTCCTATCCACCGGTTCTATAGCCTCTATCGCCACAATATACGTCTCAACCTCCGGAATCTGCAGCAGCGTCTTCGTCAAATCGCCGCGTTGAGGATTTAGGTTGTTGCCCAAAGTTCTGTGGAGGTTCATACAGCAGCATGAACACTGCACCCTTGTTTGTTCCTCCTGAGCTTTGTCCTCCTCCTTTAGCAATAGCCTAGCGAGAGTATTCTCCTAGTGGTAGTTACCAAAGTGCGTCAGCCACTCAGCGATCGGCATACTCACAATTACAATTAATTCTTGGTATCACCAGGCATCACCACAAACAAGAAGCCGGGCCGGCGCATCAAAACATCAATCTCGGCCTTGTTATTCTCCGCTATTTACTGCAGGTCCCGTCCCGCACATCTCAACTTTGGATCGTCGGTCGATCTCGTGTCTTGGCATATATGTTCCAAAGACAGCATGTGAAAAGGGCCGTTCTCACGGCTCGGCCAGAAACAAACGTAGTGGCCAAGACTTTTGATCTAATTCTTACACGACGGGTATTGGCGACGCTGGCGTCATGAGTCTATGACGGGGTTAGCCTATGCCCGTTAGTATCAATTCTAGATGGCATACGACAGCTAGAAGCAAGACTTTCTGAAGAATCACCGCCGAACCCGACCTCAATGTCGAGATCTGCTTGTTTTAGCGCTCGATTTGTGATGATCTGATCGTAACTACTTCGAGTGGTGCTTTGGGTGGTTAGGCATGTGATGATCTGAGCCGGCACGCCCTCATCTGCATCCACGGTACGGTGATGAGCCTCGGAAATGGCTCTGCGATGAGAACGTGGAGATCAAGATGGAAGCATGTTGCAAGATGTTCATTTTTCTCGTGAGAATAAAGGGTTCACAAGACCACATCCCTACGGCGTTCATTATTTTCGTGTATCGTGCATCATCACCACCACTCTCCAATAAACCGAACTTCCTTCGCCTGTCCTTGCACACCGCACTGCTCAATTGCCTATGAGACGTAGTCTTCCGGCGTCAAGCACTATCTTGTGATACCCCATGCGGCTAGACTTAGATTGGCTGATGATGTTTCGTAAACACTTTTGTGGCTGAATTCTTGTTAGAACTCTAACAACCTGCATGCGTGTTACCAGGCGTCGAGTGCCTATCCCGGTAGCAATGTGCTATGCACAGAAGTTGGTGCGCAGCTGTGGACTATAGGACAAGAACACATGATTCTCGTCCTTCCCGCAGCTTCAAATTAGGTACTCCAGGGACTGCTTCGAGGTGGGACTCGAGACGATGTGGAGACTTCTAGACCCGACGATTGCGATATGGAACGGATCAAGCAAAGTGCCAAAAAAGATCATTTCAAGGCACCAATGCATTCGATCGGAGGCCGAGGCCCGGTGTCGGCGGGTCGATGGATAAAGGTGCCAGTTGTGGCATCAAGGATTTCATCATCAACACCAAGTCGGTTGCTTTGAACGGCTTCTGCATGATGCGATCCTGTACAGCCTGTTAGCCTAGAAATGCTTTCGACGGTCATCATATACTTACTGCTCCAGCAGCAATGGCAGTATCAATCTGCTCTTTCCGAACGTTCGCCGTGACAGCAATTACAGGCAACCGTTCGGAAGACAGCACCCCCTGCTCTTCTTCCCTTTTCCGTATCTCGCGCATCGCGCCAAGCCCATCAAGTACCGGCATCTCCAGATCCATCAACACGATGTCAAACGTTTCTCTCTCCAGTATCTCAAGCGCCTCCAGGCCATGGTTTGCGACGGAGACGTGGCATCCCGCTTTCTTAAGTTGTTTGCCGAGCACTTGCTGGTTGATGATGTTGTCTTCCACCAAGAGTACGTGGAGTTGCCGCATTGCCGCTTCCTTATTGCCGGTTTGTTGAAACATTTCCTTGAGAGTCCTGGGCTTCCACTCTGCTCTTCGCGTCTTGACGTAGAATCCAAAAGTCGAACCTTGGCCCTGAACGGATGACACGCCTATTTCGCCGCCTTGCTTCTCAGTAAGCTCCTTTGAGATGAACAGACCCAGCCCACTGCCGCCGTATTTGACATGCGTCTTCACGTTCGCTTGGCGGAAGCGCTCGAATATCTTGTGAATTTCCTTCTCTCGCAAGCCAATTCCCGAGTCCTTGACGGTGAACGCAAGATAGATTTCTTCACCGGTGCCCCAATCTGGATTGCTTGTAACATCGCCGTCTTGCTTGCCCTCAGTAGCCCAGAACATGTCTTCAGGAAAGAGTTCGCGGGGATCTGAGGTGCTGGCGCCATAGCGGATGGAGAGGGCTGGCTTTTTCGATGGTTTGACGAACTTGATGGCATTCGTCAGTAGATTGATGAAGACTTGTGTCACGCGGGACGGATCCAGATGAAGGTGGTCAATGCCTAGACTCAAGAACGACGTGTCAGGTGTGACACTGTAAGAGATGTTGTGCGTCTTCATCTCAGCTTGGAAGATGTTGACGATGGATTCCACGAGCTTCGCGGGTTTGACTGCGACAGGCGTGATGGACAAGAGCATGGAGTCGAGCTTACTCAAAGTAAGTACATCGTCGATAATACGCTTCTGATGGTTTGCACATTGCATGATGACGTTTGCGCTTTGTATGTTGTCATTGAGAGTATCGAGACACGGTACAGGTATATCGGCGAGCTGCGTCTGGCACTCGACAACCGCGTTGGCAATCGCATCTGCGCAATGTACAATGGCGCTCAATGGGTTCCGCATCTCGTGTGAAACTACGTCAATGAAGGCTTCCTGCTGTCTTTTTGCTTCTCTTGCTTCGGCGGCTAATCGAGCCTGGAAGGTCTGCGCCCAGCACAGCCTGCTAATGTCAGTCGTACAAGCCATTACGCTTCTCACGCTTCCATGCTCGTCGCGGTACGGGAAGGCCAAAACCTGGATCTGGGCGGGTTCGGGATCCCCAGTAGGAGGCGTGTACATGCGCTTCATGCGCAAGTCGGCTGTGACGTGGTCGGCGCCTCTAATCAGACGCTCCCAAACATCATCAGCTTTTACCCGATCATCCTCGTGATATGCGTCAAGGAAGGCAAGACCGATGGCATGTTCTGAAGGAGATTTCCCAGCTAGCTCATAATAGTGATCGTTGGCCCATAGCATATCACCATCAAGAGATACATGGCACATGCCAACAGACGCGTGATCGATCAGATGGCGTAGCTTGAGATCACTGAAGGCCAGATCAGTCTCGAGCTGCTCTTGTCGCTTCTTGCTGGATTCATTGTCAACAGCAGAAGATATGATACTTGACACCATGCGACCTAGGTCCCGGATAAATTGCGTGCATATATCGTCGTGGGGGCGAAATGGATTGGTGCCGAAGACGAGGTAGCCGAAAAGGCGTGTTCCACTCATGATGGGCATTACGACAATCTTCTTGGAAGGCGCGCTCCAACCTCTCCACGAGGTAGCAAGAAATCGTTCATCATGCTCGATGACCATAGTGTCTATACCAGCTCGTCGCAGATCTGGTATTAGTCCTTGCTCACTGTCGATAGTGGCTGTCTGGATGAGAAGGTCGTGCCCCTCGGGGAAACCAAATTGGCCATGGAGTATCAACTTGTTCGAGCCTGGGGTTGTGTCCATCCGGTAGAGCATGGACATGGGCACATCGTTGGCGTTGGCTTCGAGCGTGGTGAGAATGTGGGAGCAGACTGCGTCGACACATTGTGAGGGCACGGAGGCGAGTGTATTCAGGCAGGTGGTACGGCGGTCTGCGAGCTTCTGGCTTGTTACCTCGTAGCTAGTTGGGTCAGCTGTGGATTGCAAATAGGTAGCTGGGCCACGCGTGTTTTCTAGCTTGGTTACTGCACGTAACTCACGTTGTGTTCATGAAGCCCTCGATAGCGCCTGGCATGCCTACTGGAACAAAGCCGCCAGAGAAGAAGGCCTCCTCTTGGTAGCCTCTGCGCTCGACAACCGTGGGCAGGGCAGAGCTGTAATTGACCCCAGTGCCTGTCCGCTTGGCCTGTATGAAGTACTGGCTGATGGACGGCCAGAGATCGGGATAGCCATCCTGGAAGAGGGAGCCCATGAGGTTGGGGTGAGCGCCCCCGGCCAAGGGAGCATAGGCCTCGTTGTATATGGCAGTGAGGTTGGAGATGTCTTCTCCCCACCAGAGGCAGGCTCCGCGCGAATCGGCCAGTACATAACTTGCGAACATGCGCAGCGTCGGGCTCCACGTGCTCAGTGGCCCCAGGCAGCTGCGCGACCAGTCCGTGGTGCGGAAGAAGGCGATATGGTCGGTCTGAGGAAGCGCCGCGGTCCAATCATCGTATACGCATTCATCGTCGGGGTTCATGGGAGGAGCGCCGAAGCCGTCTTCGTCGGGGGGAGGAGTGAGCATCTGCATGTAGCTGCCGGCGCAGAAGTGGCAGTCGCGAGGGAGACACAAAGTGGCTGCAGCATCCTCAAAAGGAATCGACGTTTGCGCAGGCAAGGCGCGGTCAGGACCCGGTTATCTTATTCCCATGCGATGCTTCGGTTTTGGCTGCGGCGGTGCTTCTTCGGCCAGTACTGGCGTCGATTGCATGTGGGCACGGGGCACAATCGAAGATGCATCTCGCACCTACCCTCGCACATGCCGATCTGCCGAGATTCCCATCGCCTCGCCCCGGGCCACATGCCCTTTGAACCCATCTGCATGCCCTCGTACCAACCCTGTACATCTACATCTCCCGAGACACTCTGTATGGGAGCAAACGAAATTCCGACCTCGCGCAGCAGCAAGACAGCCGCTGTTTGGCGGGGCAAACCTTCTCCTCCACAGGCATTGCGACGCCACAAGCGGGTGATCCTTTTTCTTCATCGACCGATCACCGTCTTTTCGACATGAAGAACAGGGGGGCGCTGTATCCGCCGTGTTTGCAGCCTCGCCGAATGCAGCTAGTTGCCCGTCGCTGCCCATCGCATTCACGCCCGATACTATTCCAGTACTGCAACCCACTCGCTCGTATCATGTCTGTCCGAACCGAGCGTGTCTGACTCACCTCGCCGCACTCTTTACCGGATGCAACAGAGATGCCAATTGCTGGTTGTATACGCAGGGATGCCTGTGTACTGCATTGCTCTGCTACCATGTTACGAATCAAACTGTAAGATTGATGAGAGCCTACTGCTGTCGGTCAACAAGAATTTCTCCTCTTTTCGAATATTACAAATGTCGACGTTTGGTGTCTCCGAGGTTATTTCTGCTCCACTAGCGGTTTGTAAGCGTTACGTCATTTCGTCGAGATAGCCGTTGAGTGGTTACTCGCTCAATCGCCCAACCAGACATTACGAAGCATGTCAAGATTGATCTCTAGCACCGCTCGATATAGGCCTGAGATACAAAACACATTTTCATGTAGGAACAAAACTCTATCGGTTACACATTCATACTGAGCCTCACTTTCCACAATGTCTGTCCTTATCACGGGAGCCTCTGGGTATCTTGGTGGCTCGCTGCTTGCGGCACTACACAATGCCGTACTTACTGAGCACAAAGACATATATGCTCTCGTCAGATCTCCAGACCAAGCGGAAGCGGTGAAGAAGTATGGCGCGCGCCCTCTCACTCTCAATTTACAAGATGAAGAGAGTGTGATCAAGAGCATCGTCGATGCGCAGATATCCGTCATATTCTTCCTCGTTGACGCTATGAACTCCGATATGCAGGTTCCCATGATAAAAGCCCTCGCAGAAGTCAAGAAGCAAACTGGACGCGAAGTCCACTTTTTGCACACCAGTGGCGCAAAGATCTTCAGCGAACATGCGGGGATGCCTATCGATCGACCACTTCCCGATACAGATGATGATCTGTACAAACTACAAAAGAGCTCCAAGGCTCCTCATCGACTCTTAACGCAGGTATGAGGCAACTAGCGTGTACGCGGTCCAAAGTCCAATCTCTCTTACTGAAATGACCTCAGGCGACGAACACGAACAATGTCATCATTGAAACGGCGGAGAAACATGGAGTTCGCAGCTACATCTTCATTCCATGTATCGTGTACGGCGAAGGCAAAGGTTTTGGTAACAAAATCTCGATCCAAACCACAGCTGTGGTCAAAGCCGCGAAGGGGGCCGGCGCCGTGTACGATGTCAATCCGGAGGGTTGGGTAGGTGTTATTGAATAGTCACCAAGTCAACCACTCGTATGCTGACGATGTACTCAGACTTGGCCCGTATGTCATATCGACGACAACTCGAAACTGTACGTGAAACTGCTGAAGAGTATCCTACGCGACGAGAATCCAGGATATGGCGAGAATGGGTACTATCTTGCTTCCTCCGGAAGTGTAGCCTGGTACGAAATATACACCGCAATGGCGAAAGCGCTTGCGAAGCGTGGTATTATCGGCAGTCCTGAAGTCAAGAAAGCGGATGAAGCAGCGCTAGATAAGATGGCGCAGGCCTTGAGTTGCCCAAAAGAGCTTGTTGCAGTTCAGCTGGGTGGAAAGTAAGTCTACTTGTATGATCACAAGGATGGACCAGATGTTGACACCAGACACAGATGCACACTTGAAGCGAAGAGGGCCTATAGTTTAGCTTGGAGACCAGACCATGAGCCGAAGCACATCTTGGAGGCGGCAGATGCAGAGGTAGAGCTTATCTTGAAGCATCTATGAGTAATGAGCAGCATAGTAATCGGGATTGCGGCATGGTATAGCTTAGAATTGTAGCTACCTTTTCCATACGTAATAATCTGGAAGTTTCAATGTGCCAAAGAACAAGAGAACAGCCCAATGAAAGGTCCGCAATTAGTATTTCAGCAAAGCTCTTTTTCTTCCATACTCAAGTTCTGACTTGTTCGTCTCCATCCGCACCAACTCATGCCCTTTCTCCACCAGACGAAGATGCCGAGCCCATAATAATATTTAACTCTGCCTCCGTATATCTCCGTTGCGGCTGCTGCAAAGCACAATTAGGAACATCACATTGACGTGCTCTCTGGACAACTTACCTCCACGAATTTCGGTCCATCGTACTCGCGCAACAGCTCAACGTACTCCATCAACGGCTGCATGATCGAAGCATCAGCGTTCAACGCTGGACCACTGAGCGCAATGTCCAGATCATATGCCAAGACGACGACTGGACCGCGAAACGGCAGTCCAAGGCTCTTGTTCTCCAAGAGCGCACGCTCTCCCTTCGCATTCATATCATAATTGATCTGGATGAAATACGGAAAGAAGCGGTTGTGGAATGATAGTTTTTTGATCTCCTGGGCAGGTACACCGGGGAAATGATAACTAAGGCCCCTTACCGTACCTTCCTCATCGAACCTCAGAACGGAGAAGACAGGTTTAGCTGAATTCACGGGGAAGTACAAAACGCGCCGCATGTTGTTAGGAATGTATTGTTTGATGGCCTTTGCGTAGGGCTTGCAGACGAGTTTGTGGCTGAAGTCCCAATCGCGTTCTTGACAGGCTGGCGAGCAGTAGAGCATGCTCTTGCATTGGCCACAGATCTTCTTCGCGCCAGGAGTACGACAGGAAGCGCACTGATCTGCAACAATATTGGGTAGAGGAGGGACCGGGGTGTAGTCTTCGAGCATCAACGGATAGCCAAAGTCCTGAGGTGAGTACGGCGTGATTGAGGACATGGCGAGTGGTTGTAGATTCGAGATTATGCGACTGATATCAGGAATGAATTATTATTGGAGAATATACCCAAGCTTGGAACTCAAAAGGAAATAGAGAGACCAACAAAGAGCTGTGAGATTAGAAGATATACTAGCATTAGTCGTACGGCATATGAATGAGGTCGCATGACGTCTATCTCACCGCAAATGACATACTGCCTTTACCTGAGAGCCTTGATCAGATACCCAGGTTATCTCAGTATGGGCGATAAAGCCACTGCGATGGATGAAAGAAGACGTCGAAATCCACGCCACCAAACACGCCAATCGCCGGAAAGAGATCGCATTCGCCCCTCAGTCCAGTATTACCGCCCTCGCTTCGCACGTCAAGCTCCTCGTTGCCATCCCAGCCACCTTCCTTTACTCCATTACGCGTGAAGAACACGTCGATATCTAGCATTCTTCCCTGTTGCGACTGCTCGTATGATGGCGGGTTGCGCGGTACCGAGAAGGTAATGCCAATACCCACAGTATCGCCGGGCTTGAAAGCCGAGGTGAAGTCGATGCCGCCCCATGCGTCATTGACGTACTTTCTTCCATCATCTCCATGTACTCCAAGACTGGCACGCTCCCAACCTGGGAGACGGAATGTAGGATAAGGCGGCGCAACGAAGCCTATCGCGATACCGGCGTCTGCTTCCGAGAAGGAGAAGCCACCGCGACCGATTCCAAGGACTTTGAGTTCAAAGTAGACAGTCTTGGAGCGTTGTGTGTTGAGCGGTGAGTCCCAAAACACACTGTACATAGGCAGATTTGTGAGGATACTCGAATCCCTGCAGTTCGCGTGGGTGCGACAACGCCAATGGCCTGCTTGAGGTTGAGGGAGTATATCGCCCAGATAGGATGGCGCTTTCAGTAGAGCAAGCTGACCGTTCTGAATCGCAGCATGGGTGCTAGGCTGCAGGTTCTGCGGTGGCCACAAAGGATTCATGTTGGTCCAAGCCAAGGCACGATCGCCATCTTCAGTAGATGCATTAGCAGTGGGAGAACTATCGTAACCCATCGAAGGTGGTGGGGGTAGAAGTGAAGTGTCAGGTACGACTGTCCAGTCGTGGTATGGCGGAGGATCCCAGCTAGGAGGGGGTTGCTGTGGATAAGAAGGAGGTGGTCCTGCTGGGGGTGCGTAACCTGAAAACTCTTGTTTAGGTGGAGGCCCTGGAGGAGCAGTATAAGAAAACGACCCGTGGCTCGGTGGAGGACCTGGCGGAGCGGAGTACCCAGATGAGGATGAAGCCTGGTTCGGCGGCGGGCCAGGCGGTGCTTGATACTTCTCCGTCGGCGCTATGTTATGCTGCTGGTCCTGAGGCGAGCTGTAGTAAGGGTTGTTTGAATGCTGATTATGTTGGTCTGTCCCATATGACGGCCTTGAAGAGCTGTCGTCGCCCTTTATCTTGTCCTTGAACTTCTTGAACATGGTGCCAAGGTTGGCCTGGGAACTAAGAGCAGTGCAAGAAAAGGTCTTATTCTAATTTGGTGGGTAAGTGGTAGATGTCGCAAAGATTGTATCAGGGGGTGTGTAGGGTTGTGGAGTCACACTACTAGAGAAGCGGGCGCACTTGAATGATGATGTAGCGAAGGTGGCCGGTTGTGGCTGTGCACGCGCAACAAACCCCGAGTTGATTGTCACCCAACGGTCTACGTCATTGCTGGTGGCTTGGCAGGGTCTTCGGAGCACAGACCCCAGCCACGATCGCTGATGTCGCGCTCCAACAAACGTTACGCGATTGAAATCCAACAAACAGACCGTCGGTCACGCATCCCCCGCATACCTTCCAGCCAAAGCCTTGCCGCGTACCCTTCCTTCTATAAACCTCACCGGGACCTCGACTTCTACGTCTCTCAACCAATCGCCTAATCCTTTCGCGAAAGCATCCAATCTGCTGCTCCCGCTAACGCCTCTGCCCAACACCCCATAAACCACGAAATGCACCGCCATAATACCTTCGAACTCCACTCTTTCCATGAAGAAGCTGTCGCCCCAGCTTTCTCCAAACATTTCCTTGAGTTTAGGCATGGTGAGAAAGCTGCGAAGCCACTCCCAGCTCTCGGCATACAAGGGTGATGACTGTGGGTAGGAGGAAGGTAGGCTTGTGGGTATAAAGAAACCAATGTTTGCGTTTCCACCCTTGTCGCCTGAGCGAGCGAGCACGATGTCTCCCAGTCGCGCACGCGTTGTTGGGCCAAAAGACCGAAGATCTACGGGATTCGCAGTCTCGTAGCTTTCCCGTCTCCCAATCTCTTCCGATTTCGGTGGCGGCGTGGTCATCAGCGTCCTTGTCTTGCCATCTTCGAGAATATTGATCGCCGTCTTCAGCTTGTTCTGCGGCCAAATCGCTGGATAGAAACTCAAGTACGGTTTCGGTATCGCCGTGCGATGATCCATGGTACTATGAAAGCCCGAGTAGTGCTGCATCGCAAAGTCTGCCAGTAGACTCGCTAGGCCCAGGTTCACTTTAGGATCGCCGCTCTCCGCGAAGATCCGACAACACGATGTACTTCTGAGCTGGCTCTTCGGATCGGTCTCCGGCATGCCTATGCGCTGGAATTCCAAGATGTCGAATTTGTCCAGTATCCCCTTCTGATTCAGACCAAACTTGATCATGCGTTCCCAGAGATCGAATTTCTCAGCCGTGGCGTAACCAGTTGCATTGACAACAATCTCGGACTGGTAACCTGCTTGATAGAAGATTGCGAGCTTCGTGGTGAGTGGGGGTGGTTTGCCTTTGACGCCCCACAAACGAACTCTTTCTGATTGTTAGCGAGATCGCTCATGCCAGCATGCCATGTAAGTGAAGGACATTTGAGCGTACCTGTTCTTGCCTTCAGCTTTGACCTGAACCTCATCCAAGATAGCCTTGACATCGCTATTCAGGTACACGTTGCCCTGAAGCTCGTACAGAAACTGACATTTGACAGTGTCTTCTGTAACAAAACCTTTCCTAGCTTCGTGCTTCGTGATCACACATGTTCCGTCCTTTCCGACTTCTGCGATACCGAAAGTGATGTCGTATAGGTCATCTAGCGGATACTCGTAGAAGCCCGCGAAATTCGAGCCTGTTACATAGCCACTGCATTCGATGAGATGGCCCGCAATCAGTGCTCCTGCAAGCGCATCGAAGTCGGTGTCACGCCACGAGTACCAGTACCATGCAGCGCCGATGACGGGACTGGCATCTGCAACACGACCAGCAATAATGATGTCTGCGCCTTCTTCAAGACCTTTGACGATTTCGCGGGCGCCGAGGTACACATTTGCACTGACGATCGGTTTGTCGGTTTTCAGGACGTCAAGCGTGTGGTCCGCGACAGTTACCTCGCTGTTATCAGAATCCAGGTGTGGCGGTAAGCCTTTCTCCTTGATATCTTTCATCTCGTCCATGAGGTTGTCGCCAGACACGTACGCAACCTTCAGATCATATCCTTTGGTCACAACCTGTTCATCTCTCAGTTAAGTAGACCATGTAGCGACTACATCGATAAGGCGAGACTCACGAGTTCATGCACCTTCTCGGCCAATCCCTTCGGATTGTGCGCACCACCATTGACAACGACTTTGATCCTCTTCTCATTCAATAGGTCGATCGTCTGCTCGATACCGTCCCAAGCTGTTTTCTCCCATCCAGGATGCTTGCCCGCTGCATGTGCTTGGGCATTCTCCGCGATGTTGACCTCAGCGAGATAGTCACCTGTAATGAAGTCTGTGTCTCCTAGCTCTGCTTGGTAGAGCATGTGATATCCGGGATCCCCTTGCATTCGTCAGACTGGTTTAGCATAGGTAAGGCTGGTCTCACCTTTGTAGCCTGAGCAGTTTGCTATCCTCACTGGACGGCTTCCGCGCTGCGCTGTCCATCTCGTGCTGTAGTCTGACGATGCCATAGCTACTGCTTCATCAATGATAGTCGACAAAGGGCTTGTGGTGCAATCTTATGTGTATTCTGGGAGTAAGTCGCTAACGCATGCACATGCGTGTAAAGCAGACTTGCATTATCGCGATACAGCCGCAACTTAAACCCTCCCACCAAACTTCCAATCATAAACACCTCCACAGCAGACTGCTATGTCAACAGACCTGATCCTCTTCTTGCGTAACGTGTATCCAGATTGCGGGGTGATACCCCACCTTGTCGGGTAGATTGAGCTAGTCGACTTACTCGCCCGAGGGCCGAAAACGAATTGCCGTCCATCTACCATGATCGGCAGTGCTTGAGTAAGACCAGTGACAGCTAGGACGATGGAGCTGGTGCGCCGATTGGCGTTGCTTGCACCATGTTACAAGGCGACTAAGTAGCTGATGGGGTCGAGTGGGACGTGTTTCGGACAGCACAAACGATAAAGCTCATGCTATCCGCGTCTCGTAGCCACACTCTCAGTTCTCTCAAGTCGAAGTCAAAGCTCTACAACTATTTGAAATGTCAAACACAATGACGAACGGCCATACTAACGGCACGAATGGTAGCCACAAGGACTACTCAGTCCCTCGCGAAACCCAAGACATCTTCGAGAAGGGCATATTGAGCAATCCCCTCATTGCTCCAACATTACCCATCGACATCGCAGAATGCGCAAAGAAAGTCCAGTTCAAAGGCACCGATAAGCCCAGTATACCCATCAACTGGCGCTTCGCCGAAAGCATCTCGGCACTCAAGGGGCTGGAAGCCGCCATGATCAACGTCCTTTTGAAGCAGAAATATGGACTGGAACCCCAAGACGCTGTCATAGATACGTAAGTTGAAATATCCGAGCTTCCACGCTAATCAAGAAAGAACCGAACAGGCCTACAGCCTACATTAACGCTAGGTCACCTATCTTGTAGGTTTCCATGTCAATGTAGGCAGCAGGCTTGTTTGGTTTTCTTCTTGTATAAGGTGCTTCTATTATAAGGAGTTGTTGCCATTGAGTAGCTAACGCGTTTCGGTGAAGCGACCATGCGCAACTCTTCTTCATGTCGATCCTATTGAACGTCATCGATCCCGATGGCGAGCACATCGAGTTCTTGACGAAACCATTCGCGAGTGGATCGGACGCATACAACAGGTATTTCAAGAACTGCGATCTGCATCATACTAGTAGGACTCCGTATCGCGTGGCGGCTACGAACATCTACCGGTGCAAAGATGGAAGGTACTTCCATTTACATGGCTCCATGAACCCTGAACCCACACAAGAGAGTGTTGGGTTACCGCATGATGTGGACTTGGCTGAGTCAGAGGATCCATGGAAACCATACGAAGAGAAGCTAGCAGGTATTGAATCCGACGAGATGCAAAGGTTGGCGTCGGACGTCTACAAGCAAGCTGGTACAATTTGCTGGACAACTGAAGAGTTCAAGAACAGCGAGCATGGAAAAGCGAACGCCCATGTAGGCCTCTACGAGATTCACGACGTCAAGAACCAGAAACAGCCAGCGTGTTGGTGGCCAAATAGTTCGGAGACAGGTGTAAAGAGGCCACTCGCAGGTCTCAAAGTCGTCGACCTGACCCGTGTAATTGCTGCTCCAGCTCTAACCCGAGGCCTTGCCGAACTGGGTGCTTCGGTGATGCGAGTAACAGCTGAGCACGTTACCGATATGTCCATGCTACACGTCGATCTCAGCTGGGGAAAGTGGAACGCGCATCTGGATTTCCGGAATGAAGATGACAGAGAGAAGCTGCGCGCTTTAGTCCGAGAAGCCGATGTCGTAGTACAAGGCTATCGGCCTGGTGTCCTGGACAAGTATGGTTTCTCTCCTGAAGGCCTACTCGACCTGACGAAAGATCGAGAGCGAGGTCTCATTGTTGTGCGGGAGAACTGCTATGGCTGGTATGGTCCTTGGTCGTATCGCAGCGGGTGGCAACAAATCTCTGACGCGTGCTGTGGCGTATCGATGGAGTTTGGACGAGCCATGGGCAATGACGAGCCTGTTACACCAGTTTTCCCCAACAGCGACTTCTGCACTGGTACTTCTGGCGTCATCGCCGTCTTGAACGCGATCATCCGAAGGGGTACTGAAGGCGGTTCCTACAA